GGTAGTGCTGCTGCTCCACGCTCTCCTGAGGGATGAAAACCATCTTTTTGGCATGCTCCATCTCGATCTGTCTCTCTCTTCGCGGCGTATACCCCTACCCACTTCCTCCTATGAGTTTCGATATGACGGTGCCCAGTATGGGTGCTAGCAGAAGGTAAAAAACCACCGCTCTGAACAATAAGACGTTTTCTAGTTTTCACGGCTGAACCCGATCTGGATAAACATCTCAACAGCGATGCGTGTTTTCATAAGCGACGTTTTTGCGTCGGTTCGAGAGGCACGATACCGCGAAGAATATTCAAAGCACATTCGCATATACAGTTGACGAGTCGCGAGTCGGCCACTCGTAACAAAGCGCTACGCTGTTTGCTATCCAGATGGCAAATAGCCTTTAACACGGCGGCGTGTTTGCGCCCTATAGAGCAGCGTGCGCCGGATACCATTACAACCGAATGACTGGTATGTCTTGATCGGTGTACCCGCCCTTTATACTCTTTCGCGGTACGTACACGTAGTGGAACGGGTCCGAAGGAAACACGCACGTGCGAAAGCGGCAGTTATCGGGAGTCGACTGCTTCAAATTGAGTAGTAGATAGCCATGCGGTTGGGCCGTGGCGTCGTGGTAGACCTCCTGTACGAAGCGCGGATTTTCAGGAAACACCTGTCTGGCCAGATGCTGTATCTGTGCTCTGTCGCGCGAATTTTTAAATACAACGATTTAGTTGGCGTTCAACGAGATATCGCGCTGTCCTGGCCCCTGATGAAAGAGGTTCTGCGTGATAAAGATAACGCTAATATTCTTATGATGGCTGCCTTTGATGACGAGTTTCGGGCGTGGCTGTCCTGGTCCCTGATGAAAGAGGTTCTGCGTGATAAAGATAACGCTAATATTCTTATGATGACTGACTTTGGTAAAAAGGTCGACCACCGTGTTATTGGACGATTCCCTCATGAGATCGTCGATGATGACGAGTTTCGGGCGTAGGTCGTTACCGTAATCGGTGTTTTGCGGCAGTCCCTCGTAAAATTCTATAGCGCTCCCGTACTCCCTGTACCCCTCCTGCCATTCTGCATAGTAAAAGAGAACGCGCGCGAAGTGCACGTCATTCATATCCTCGATGAAGCGTAGGAATTTCTTTACGAAAAACGTCTTCCCGCACCCCGTTGGCCAACAGACCATCGACGTCCACGGATGCTTCCACCGCGTGTCCATTATGCCAAATGAGGTTATTTGGCGGCGCTCTTTACGATTATACTGTTAAAGAGTCTACCGGATTTTACACAGTCCCCCTTCCATCGCGGGGCCTGGCCGCGGCGGGCGCGCTTCACGCGTGAGGCTCGTACGTCGCGCGCGCTTGCTAGCTCTTATCGGTGACGTTGCTAGCCCTTGGTGCGGGTAAGCTCATCGTGCACCTGTGAGCTAACCGCCGGCCTGTATGTGCGTCAACCATATCGCTAGCCACCGTGCACTGCTAGCATGTCCGAAGCGCCGCTGAAAAAAAAATCATAACGCGGACGGGCTGGTAAAGCCTTCGGGGATAGATCGATAAAAGAGATTTATTTTTGTTTTTCAAATAAATACGTTTATTATGATACTATTATTGCTCAGGGTTGTATATACATTTGTACATTTTTTGTTGTTGTAATATTAGTTACATAAAACCGTACGGTAAAATATTGTTCAGGGTTGTATATACATTTGTACAATTTTTTGGTAATATTAGCTACATAAATCCGTACGGCAAGGATCCGAAACGACCGTCGCGTCGCCGTTTTTGAAGCTCTGTCGGTTTACACGTTTTTGATTCGAGGCGTGTCACTACGTCGTGAAACGGAGTACGACGTATCGCGTCATAGCGTAAAACCACCGCCTCGCTGGTCTCCCCCGTTACATAAGACCGTATCCAGTCATAATTAATGGCAAGACTCGTCGCGTGGTCGATCGTGATACCTTTGACTTTGCAGACCTCTGCGTAAGAACCGTCTGGCTTACGTACCCGGTACGCGTAAAATTTCGGGCATCCCTATACAAAAGACGTGATATAGCTACCAACACCGTACGACTCCAACTCGTCCGTTAAATCGCCCAAAAGACTGCCGAGCGGCGGCTCGTAAG